GAGCCATTTTCGATTTGATCCAGGGGTACTTGCCCTAAGAAAAACCTCAAAAAATTGACACTTTTGTATGGGAGGTACCCGTAAATCGACTCTGATTGGCTTCAAACTTTCTGAGATTTCATTTTTTGGGAAAAAAATAAGATTCTGAAAGTTTGAAACCAATCGGAATCGATTTACGGGTACCTCCCATACAACTTTTTTGAAATTTTGACTAAAATTACCGATTTTTGGACAATTTTGTACGGGAGGTACCCGTTAATCGATTCTGATTGGCTTCAAACATTCTGAGGTTTCATTTTTTGGAGAAAAAATAAGATTCCGAAAGTTTCATGTTGATCGCATTTGCAGAAGTTTGATTTTTTGTCCTCAATTTCGTCCGACATTTTCTTGGAAAAATTTGAGGGCCAAAAACCAAACTTCTGCAAATGCAATCAACATGAAACTTTCAGAATCTTATTTTTTCTCCAAAAAATGAAACCTCAGAAAGTTTAAAGCCAATAAGAATCGGTTTACGGGTACCTCTCATACAAAATTGTCGAAGTTTTAGTTAAAGTGACCGATTTTTCACTTTATTTATATTATTATATTTTCACTGCCTTAATTTCAAGAAAATTCACAAAAAATAATCAAAAGTACGTACGGGCAACGCAGGGCAACGCAGGCCAACGGTACGGAAAAGTTCGGGATTACCAATGTAATTCCTTTTATTTATTTAATGAATTTGCTTTCACTCTTTGTAAACGATTCAATATGGTAGTCTGGGGTAGATGAAGAGGGACAAAAAATTGCAGCTGGCACACGAAACGATGGCTGTAAATCCGCTTTGTCAACACAATTGACAAATGGTATCGGTCTCCGGGCAGTGTGTGTGTGTGTGTGTTTGTGTATTTTTGTGCAGACGCTGTGGGCACGAAAAAAGGGTCAGTGGGCAAATTCCGAATCGAATCGATAGAGATCGAGTCGCATCTGCTTGCATCCTAATTGCTTGTTGGCACCAATCTGCTTTTCATACAGAGCATAGAGATGTATTGATTTTCCACCAAAATCTAGCTGAAACTTTTTTTTCTCGCCGAAAAAACATCAACCGAAAATTGATTATGAAATCTACTCATCCTCATTTTCGATTGAATCCTAGGCTTTTTACTTAGATTCCCAAATGTATTCGCCGGAAGTCACAAATAATATTGAAACGTTCCTTTCGACTTTGACCAAATGAATATGAATATGATATGAATACCAATGGCAAACGTCGGGAATGTGTCAGTCAGAGGGAAATGTCCGGCCGTAGTATTTGAAGAAACGTAAACAATCTCTGATCCCATAGC